TCGAGAGAAGGAAAGACAGCCACAAACAGGGAGAAAGACACAGCCCACTCTCCATGTGGCTGGCCCTGAAAGACTGAGAGCTCAACAAGGTATCTTGTTCTGCACATGCTAGGCATGTCGTAACGCCTTACCCTCTTTTGCTTCTTTTTATCAGCCTCTTTCTGAAGGTCTCGTAAGGCCCTCTGCACAAGCTGCATGTCCAGGGACTGTTCATCTCTGTGTTCCTGTTGCACATGCTCCATCTTCTCTTGGAGGCCTTTATCCAAAGCAGCTCTATTTTCCTGTTTAATCTTTTGCTTCTTTACCTTATCCTGCTCATTCTCAAGTTTTACCTGCGCAGAGATGTCTTCCTAAGGTAGAAAAATAATGAAATTCAGTGCAGTTGGACAAAAGAAATTAATTCATTTCACCTAAGAGATGAGATAAATGGTTTCTTGGAAACACACATACACACACAGAGCTGGAACTGGAGAAATAAAGAAATAAAACAAACCTTAATGCTGAGTCAATGATAAGGTTCTATAAAATTTCTACAGGTGTTTATAAAGTAATAAACAGTGGAATTCTAAGTGCAGAAAAGTATAAAAAAAATCACCTGTAACCCTAGCATCCTTGACATTTCTGTACACAGCAGTCCCCTTTTATCCATGGGCTTCCCTTACCCAGTCAACAGAGGTCCAGAAACATTATATAAAACAAGGTATTCTGAGAGAGAGGAAGACAGACACAGAGACAGAAAGACAAAGACCACATTTGCATAACCTTTATTACAACATACTGTTATAATTGTTCTAGTTTATCGTTATTTTCTTCTAATCTCCTAGCATACCTCTCTATGTCTCCTAGTACACTTTACCATAAGTGTGCACATATAGGAAAAAAGTTAAGATAGAGTTTGCTACTACCCATGGCTTCAGACACCCACCAGAAGTCCCAAACTGGCCCCTGCAGATACAGGGACCCTGCACTTAGACTTACTCTTGTACATACCTCTGCACGTTGAGATTTAGACATATTATTTATTTATTTTTCATAAATCAACTGAAATACACTGCTGAGGGTTGCAGCAGGTGAGACAGGAGAAGTCTTGCCCTATATGGGTCAATTCCCTGGTCGGAGAACAAACTCCGGCCATATGGGTGGTAGTGCTAAGACTTAACCCTTAGACCACCAGGGAGTCCAAGATTTAGACACATTATTAAGCAGCAGTAAGAGTCCAAAGCTGGAGCTGTGCTTGTCAGTTAAATACACAAAATGAAATTTTAAGCATTTTGTTTTATAAATGAATTCACCCTCTCCCACGCATTTTCTTATCTTTCTGACACCCCAGGCTGGCTTCATTGCCTGCCTACCCAAGCAGTTGTGTTTTTTTTAATAATTTATTTTTTAACTTATATCTTTTACACCATAAAATTCCCACACCAGTTCACCGCTGAACCTTCATCACGGCCCCTTGTGCTCTCCTCTTCTCTGCTTTGATACCTTTTCCTCCATCTCCCTTGTAGAATGTCTCTATTTACAGCTGCCTATTAGCTTTTATCATCATCATCATCATTATTATTATTTTCCCTGATCCCTTATTTGGTTCCCCTGTATTCCTCCTATAAGTAAAACCATTCAATACTTTTCTTTTTCCTTCTGGCTTATTTCATTGAGCATGATCCCTTCTAGCTCTGTCCACAGTGCTGCAAATGGTGTGAGTTTATCTTTTTTGATTGCTGAGTACATACCATTGTATATATATATATACCACATCTTCTCGAATTAACATCACATCTTTTTTTTTTTTAGATTTATTTATTTATTCATACAGAACTGGGGTACAGGCCAGAGATGCGGAGGGTGAGAGGATTCACCAGAGACAGAGCGGGGAGCAGAACAGGCAGATCAACGAAGTACACTGCTGAGGGGAGCAGTGGGAGGGTCAGGAGAGGTCTGCCACGCCATGTGGAACTCCTCCAGGGTAGGCGGGGATCAAATGGATTTGATTTGGCACTGTGTAAGGAAAGTCCTTAAAATGCATTTAAGGGAGAAATGACATGTCTGGGATTTGTCCTAAAACAAAAACTGAGTGCAGGCTAGAGGTCGAGCTGGAAGAAATCAATATGGCAAAATGTATCAACTGCTGAAAGTAGGAGACATGTCCACAGAGATTCATTCTACTCTCCATGTCTGCATTTGAAAATGTTCATAATTAAACAATTAAAAGGGACAGAATTTATATAACATTTTTGAAATGATAAAATAATAGTGATAAATATCCTACCAGTGTGTACCAGGGCTAGGGTTGAGAAAGGGTATGGCTGTAAAGCTGGAAGGAGCGTCTTTGGGTGATGGATCACTTCTACACCCTGAAGCTGGTAGTGCTACCATACGTCTATAAGTGCAATAGCACTTCATAGAATAATAACCCTTCCCACAAAGGGTGCATATACGAGGGTGAAATTCAAAGATGTCCTGGTAGTTTTCTCTCTCTCTCTCTCTCAGACACACACAGAGATATGAAAGAACACAGGTGCTATTTTTGCAACTTCTTGTGGATCTAAAGTTACTTTAAAAACTTTTTTTTTAATGCAGTCTATCAATAATTGTATTTTTTTTTTGAGATTTATTGGGTCCTTCCTGATGGCACAACAGGTTAAAGCACCATGAGGCTGTCCACAGTCACTGCAGGATGGGTTTGATTCCCCAGCCAGGGTCCAGTGAGGGAGGTGACCTACATGGCAAGGCGGACCTCTCCTGGCCCACCCAAGCTCCCCTCAGCAGTGTATTTCTGTACATGCACCTATTCTGCACCTCACTCTTTTTCTGGTGAATCCTCTCACCACCCACACCGCTGGCCTTTATGTGTGTATAGATGGATACAGCAGAGGGGAGCAGTGGGCAGGACAGGAGCAGTCTGCCACAACATGTGAGTCACCTCCCGGGCTGGGGATCAAACTCTTGTGGCAGTGGCTGTAGATATCTTCATACTGCTGCGCTTTAACCCATTGAGCCACTAGGGAGGGCTCTCAAAAATTTTTTTAAGGAAGGTAAAGACAGCCAAGTGTAGCTGGAGGGCTAGGCATGTTATAAAACTAAATATTTGTTTCTTATACTGATTTCTGGCACATAGCACCCAAAACCCTTGGACAGGCAAAGTTTGAAAGTAGTCTTTTGTATCCTGATGAGAGACTGCTGGCTGGAAACTCCTAAATGGCTCCAGGATAGGGGCTGATCATCAGAAAGACCAAGCCATGTGTTTAAGAGGATAGGGACTTCTAGCTCCTTCCTCTACTTCCAAGGAAAAAAAGAGGAGATAGAGTTCATTCACCAATGGTTACTGGCATAATCTATAATGTCTATGCAATAAAACCTCCATAAATGTCCCCAAATGATGGGGTGTGAAGAGCTTCTGGGTTGGTCAATACACTGAGGTGCTGGGAGTGCAATGTTCCTGGGGGGGTGGGGGTGGCATGGAAGCTCTTTGCAAACAGCTCTGCCTCCACAGTACCCTGCCCTGGGCATCTTTTCCAGAAGTGCAGGTCACCTGGTGATCTATTCCTAGAGACTGGCATCTGAAGGAGGGGGTGACCTTAACCTTATGAAGTGTGACACAAACTCTGGGGGTTACATCAGAAATGGGTCAAATTGAAGGGCGCCTGGTTCTAGGTGGCCAGAGAGAGTCAGAATTGTTTGGTGTGAAAGGAAAAACCCTGCATTTGATGTCAGAATTACTGTGAGCAAAATGGCTCCCAAGGTATGTCACACCAGAGGGAGAGCATATGTAAGGCTCCTGGGGCAGGAGTAACCATATTTATTACCTCAGAGAAACTAAAATATCTAGACTGCTACCAAATCCTTCAAAACACAACAGTCTCAAGTCCAGAGGAGGCTTTCTAAGGGCTCTGAAATACCTTAACTTTGACATTTCTTAAGATTCCAAATTTCAATGTTTGGAGTTTCACAGGAAAATATTGCTTTTGGCCTCTGAATTTACTATTGAGTATTGAGTAGCAGTGGCTAAAATGTTAATATGCATATAAAACTGCTGCTTTTTTAGTATTCTTACACATTTCCTTTGACACATTAGGGACAGCAGTCTTGTTGGAACAAAATGAATGATACTCTGGGGAGTGGGAGGAAGTCAGTGAAGTTACCAACAACACTTTACAAAGGATTCGGAAACACCCTGTTATCCACAACAAAGCATGGGGGGACATTGCCAAATTCACCACTAGCCCTCCACAGCACTATTGAGCCAGTGACTATCTCACTTCATCCTCACAACAAAGACAAGTGTCTTTTGCCTCCTTTTCCAGAAGAAACTGAGTCACAGTAGGTAAGTCACTTGCCCTACCCAATGTAACGCTCTGCTAGCTGGGCCTTGAAACCCAAGGCTCTGAACACAGCCTTGTGGCCCTGTGACCAACTCAGGCTGTCAGGCAAACTATCCTGTAACCGGCCTGCAAAGGCGCCCCACCCACTGAGTTAGCCACCTCCTGACAAGCTTTGACAAGCTCACCATCAGGCGTGACTCCTCTTCCTTCAGCCTCCGCGCAGCCTGCGATTGGGCCCTGATGCTGGTGATCTGGGCATCCAGGCCCAGGCGCATGTTCCCCACCAGCTCTTTCTGCCTCCTCGCCTCTTCAGCTTCTCGCTTTTCCTTGGCTAATCGGTCTTCCTCCCAGAGCTTTGAGAACATCTGCTCTTCCAGCAGCTTTTGCCTTTTCAGCTCCTCATTGAAAGCGACCTGTGCTTTCCGCTCTTCACATACTTTCTTCTGATGGATAGAAGAGAGCTTGACACGGAGCTCCTCGCAGCGTTCCCTGAAAGGAGAATTTTAAAAAGGCAGAAGCCAGCCTTTCATGAGTCACCGCTCTCTTTAGGAACATACCAGTATAGCTATGCACTGCAGGAAGAAAAGGCAAAGCCCAGATGTAGGCCACCTGAGCCGAGTAAACAGGTGAGGGCGCATCAGGCAGGCAGAAGCATGATGTCCCAAGGTACGGGCACTGAAGTCAGGCTGGACAGGCTTTGATCCTATTTTTGACATTCCTGTGTGGGTCAAAACCCCAACCTATCTGAGCTTGTTTCTGCGTTAGCAAAATAATCATCTTTCGAGGTCCTAATAAGGACCAAAGAAAACAGATGTAAATGCCTGGTGGAAAATAGGAGCTCATGCATGGCGACTGTCAGTCCTATGCAGTAGAAACAGAAGAGGAAGGAGCCCATACAGTACAAATGGGGCAAGGGTGTGGTAAGAAGAGACCCCGCATGCAGAGCCAAGGAAACACTCAAGAGGAGGGCCGGCATGTACAGCATGTGGCGGTGAAGCCTCCCCACTGTTCCTGCAGTCACGGGCAGGGCGGAGGAACAACCCATAACTGTGTTTCTACTGCAGTCGAGAAAGCAGCTCTATTGGTGATTTTTAGCCCCTGCCTCTGTCATCGTCTGGGAAGAAACGCTCTTCACTACGTATCTAGACCTTTCTTTCAGTTTTAGTAATTCAAATTTCTTCACAAGTTCTTCATGTGTATAATACCATCTGCACTTCAGACATGACCTGCACTTTGCAATGACTTAGAGATATCTTCCAAACCTCACACCCCTTGCTCCCTCTCCCTCTCCTCTCTTGTTAAATCATTTCATCTGAGGGTAGAACATAGACATCTTTATTTTTTCAGAGTTCCTCAGAAGATTCTAGCATACAGCCACATTTGAGCACCTTTCATCGTAAACTGTTTATAAACATCAAGTCTTGCTGTGTTATAAATCAAATTGGGCACTAGGAAGCTGAAATTTGTAAAATGATCCCAATACAGAACTTCTAAAGAAATCTGAGTTGCTGAGACTAAAGAAAGGAGAATAAATTGACACTCAGCAAGTACTGTTGAGCACTATTCACCATAAGCTATTGGTTTTATTTGCCTAACTAAACTAGAATCCCCTTGAGGGTTGGGGCTTGATTATTTCAGAAAAAAAACTTACCCAATGTCCACAAATATTGATTTAACAGAAAATCATGCTGATGAATAACATAAACGATAGCCAATTGTTATCCGTAGTTTATGAAAGGCTCAAAAAGATAACAGAAGCTGATGTTACTAGGTTAACAAAACCAGTATATTTCCACATTGACAAATGAATTCACCAGTCTAAAATTCTAACAAAAAGTCCCTCAGTACCTGTATTATTATATGTGTTATATAATACCAAGACTTGAAAATACAACTAATATGTATACCCTCTTAAAGCTAGACTTCTAATATTGGTTAGCACGCCTAAATCTTTTTTTAAAACACCAACCTCAGTTTCTCTGGTGTATTCTCCTGACATTACCTGAATTGCTGGTCTAGCTTTGCAGTCACAAAATCCTGTCTCTCTTTTTCTTTTTTCTCTTTCAGCAATCTGATTTTATCTCTCATTTTATCTTTTTTCTCCTCAATTGTTTCTCCTTTCAACTGCATTTCAGAAAGATATTCATTTTCTTCTGATGCTAAAAGCTCACGTAGCCTGAAACAAAATGATAAAAATTAAAACTGTCATGGCAGTCAGTTTCAGTACTTGACTTTTATATTTTATCTTAGCAGCAGATTATTATCATAAATTTTACTATCAGGAATTTTAGTCTTCCATAAGGTCAGCTGACATTTAAAACAAGAGACAAATCTGTGTCATGTTTTATTTAACCACATACAGAAGAGATAGGTAATATACCATTTTCAGTAAGAAGTAAAATGAGTACATTTAAGGAGCAAAATATATCAGTTTGCTTTCTACCAAGCATAGGTTATCACAAGGGAAAAGACAAACAATAACCATTGATTTGGCAGGACTATAAATATCTCAGCCACAATCTTCACTATAAAAATTCACTTTATTTTTAATCAGCCAATCTCAACTTGTGGTTTGGGGCAAGTTTCACAGTCTCGGTCACCAGGTTTATGAGCCTTACTTGTTTCGTCTTTCTTCAGTGTTGATGATAAACCCTTGCATAGCATCCTGGACTCTTGCTTGCACAAGACTTTTCACAAACTTGCGGTCAGTGTGCTGTTGCCACTCAGTTTTCAAGCGGTCCCGCTCACGTGATTTAATGGAAGCCAAAATAGCATGCTGTTTCTGATGGCTGTGTTGGATTCTCTGTAGGTGTCTCTCAGTCCCTTGGTCTTTGGGAGGCTTGGCTCTCTGAAAACCAGTAACCACCATCACTTTTGAGAGATCTAAAATCAATTGCTTATTTCCAACTAATCATGACTTCCACCAGTATTCAGACTAAATAAATTCTGGTATATGAAACTAGTACACACTGTTAACAACTGCAAACAGCTTTGGTGCCTAAGGTGTAACTTGTTTGGTTCTTGAAGCTTTATGTAAGATACCACCAAATTGGTTTCCAATATTCTTGCCATTTGAGTAAAAGTTGATGGACTCATATACTAGACTATTGGTAAAACCTGAAGACATTTACATGTTCTGATTGCCCAAGGTGCTTCAGCTAGTTAGGGTAGAATGTTTAGAATAAAAATTAGAGGTTTTCTAATTCCTGACCTTGATCTTGCTACCCAAGATCACACATTGTTTCTCAAGGAGAGGTAACATAGTTACTACCATCAAAGTACTTTCAATTAAGAAGCTATTATCAAGATATACACAATAAAAATAATGAGTTGTGAAAATGAAAACCTTTATTTAGAAAGAAAGGGAGACAGAGAAAGAGGGGGAAAAGAGGGGAGGAAATGAGTGGTAGAGTTTTATTTCTATTTCTATTGTGCTCAGAAGTTTAATGCAAGGGCTGTGCTCTTTTTTGGTATCTTGAATTTCTGTAAATGTCTGATATATAAAAACATCCACTGGAGATTTGGAAACATAATCTCTTTGGATACCTATTGATGTATTTAAATATAAAATCACAACAGATTATATCTTTTTTTTTTTTTTTCATTTCTCTTCCTAGCCTGAGCGTGATGGCCATCACCATCAGGTTCTCAATATAAGTGAATGAATAAATGGATGGATGAATAAATGAAGAATCAAAGTTTCTGAACAGTCTGAATGCAACCTGATTCTCCTGGAGCCAACATGAAACTCATGGTCTTGAATTCTGTATGTCCAGCCAGTGGAATGAAATCATCCTTAGGTGAGCAGTGAGACTCTGGATTGCTGATTCAGTAACAAAACTCCTAGCTCATGTGGCAGAGTCAATGATCATTGACACTTAAAAGATCACTGTCAAGATTACTAAAATAATAGGGCTGGGTTTTGTTAAAGGAGTTTCCTGGGAAACTTGATGAACTTGAAGGTAGCTTGATGAAAAGATTCAGGATTCAGTGTGCACATAATGTACCTAGATCAAGTGAATAAGGTAAGGCAGGGCTGAGGTGGGCTGGAGATGGAAGATAACATTGGGTGGGGGGGTTACATCATGGAGAGCAGCAAGTCAGTTTATACCCTAGAGTCAGTTAACTGTTTTCTAATATGTATGAAATTGTATTGATGTAGATTAATTTGAGAACAAAGCAGAGCAGGGTCAAGGCTAAATTTTCGGCAGAATACACATAGGAACTGAGGCTTCCAGTAGTCATATGAGATAAGAATCATGCCCCAAGGTCAAAAATCAATTCTCTTAAGTTGTTAGGGCAGAAACCAGGCTCTATGGTACATTTTAACTAAAGATAGGAATGGAAAGGGAGTGTGGTAGCCTGAGTGAAGAAGTCAGAAGCCCTTTAATGGTTGGGACAGCCTGAGCAGGAGTCTGTGGTCTGGAAGGACCCAGCCTCTGGGCAAATAAGCAATGAACAGGAGTAGTGTAAAAAGGGAATGCCAATCCATGTACTCTTGGCATTATTCAAAGCCTACACTGTTTAATATAATAACGTGAAACAGATTTACAATTAATTTTCTATTAGCTGCATTTAAAAACGTAAAAAGAGGGGGAATAATTTTATTACTACATTTTATTTAAGCAATGTACCCAAAATATTGCCATTTCAAACTCTAAGCACAGTTAAGGTGCTCAAAGGTCATATGTGATTAATGACCACATTATAACTCGAAGCTATACTAAAGGGAGAAAACTAGATTCAATAACTACATCACAGTTTCAAGGTCACTAGCAAAGTCTTGTTATTGTAACCTCTCAAGTTACAGTTCCTAGTATTACCCTTTCTAGTTTTAAGTCTTAAAGAACAATGCCTTATAGTTTGATCCTGGCCTCTACCCATTTTTGTGATCTTAAGGAAGTTAATCTCTCTGAGCCTGTTCCCTCACCTGTCAAATGAACAAAAATAAATGTTCCCCTAAAAACCTACTTTGAGAATTAAATAACTGGGTCCCTAGGGGATTCGGCAGAGACCTGCTCCTTTTACTTCTCCATTACTCAAGACATTTCATCTATTATGGCCTCCTCCTGGAGTGGCTGGCTTTCACATCTCAACCCTAGTGGCTTTTCTTCTTTCCCCACACTCTGCACCTCTAACACCTCTAACACCCTCCTTCCTGATCATAATCTGACATCTGAGATGTGTCAACTCTGACCTTTTCCTTTTCCACCTTATTCTTCTATGAGCACAAAGTATTCACAGGCCTGCTTCCCTAATTTAGTGGTCACATTTTTGTGTGTTCCTTATTGGTTCCCAGAAAAAGTAATGACACCTGACCAAAAGCCCAGCCCCTAAGCTTTGTATTCAGATACAAAATTCAAAACAGATCAGTTTCTGTCCTTCATGAATTTTGTCTGAAATTATCACGTTGAACCCTCTATAAGATCCTCCAGTTTACTGATTTCCAAACTCATTCTCCAGGTCCTTGGACCAGGAGAAGAGGGAGCAGGTCTATATTGAGAATTGTATGCACTGTGGAGCACAATGAAACCATATCATTCATTATTCCATAAAGTGCCATCACGGACAATACAGCATATCATTACCTAAAGCATTTATCTTAGATGGTTTTACGAATAAGAAAATTGTTCCTGAAGTTAGCTGATAAGCAACTTGAAAGCAGGCATGAGTAAAACTACTTATGAAAGGTAAACCCCCGGGGAGCCTTGTGTTTACAATATATCTCTCACCGTCCTGTGACACAGCAGGCACTCAAGTAATTTCTTTGCTCTTGGCTATTTACTCCTGGAATGTTTTCTGGTCAAAAGAAACAAGTTTGCAGACACAAGGGAATACAGGGGTATGAACTAAGTGTCTGGAGTTCTGAGCAGGACCTATCAAATTCTGCAGCAGGCAGCATTAGCCTGAAACAACCAGCTATCATTCTATTTCCAGACCTGCAAGGACACTTTCATTATAGTTGAATTGGCTGAAGAAGTCAAACCCTTACAGCCCAGTCTCCCTTCCACAGGCCCTTCTTTTGGGCTAGGTGCAGGCCCGGCCCAAGTTTAGCTAAATTACATTCAGCCCAGACCCCAAATTTCCTACCACCTGACCTAGTACTCGTTCTGTGGCCATACTTTGCACTGAGAAAAGAACAGAATTTTGGACTCCGAAACTGAAAAACTTCAAGATCCCAAGCAGCGATTCTTCAAACACAGGCTCTAGGTATATTAAAACTGAAGGTGGGAAGGCAGAGGGGATAATGGAAGGTGTTTCGAGTGCAGGAGTTCGATGAGCAACCTTATTCTCCCGTATTTCAAAATCCAACCCACTGCATCAGGTACCAGCTCCCCTTGAGTGAGCCCCATCTAGGGGCCAGGATGGGCTCAGGAGTGACTGACTGGAGAGGCAGAAAACAGTAGGTTCCCGCATACACATCTCGTGCTTACCACAATCACCACTTTAGGAGTAGGGCCCTTAACCTCCCGCTGTACGAGGCCATACCGCTGGCTGTACATTTTCTAGTTCCTTCAGAATGGGGGTGCGCTACACCACGGTTCCCCAGTCGCAGAAAGCAGCGGCATTAACTTCCGCGACGGCATGAGCTTCCGCAACGCGTACTTCTCGTTGCCATAGTGCACCTCGCTTGAGAGGCGGAAGTTGGTCCCGTCACCATGGCGACCATGGAGGCGGCACTCGCGACATCCTCCTCTCGGAGCTGAGTTGACGAGCCTGCGCTGTCCTCAGCCCGTCCGCCCGTCCGCCCGTCCACCCATGGCCTGGCCTCCCGCCAGTCTCCCTTCCTCTAGAGTTCCCCAGAATAACAGGAAAACCCTTCCTTAACCAGAAGTGAAGGCAAAGATCTAATCACACGCCAAATGATTTTGCTGAATAGACCCTGCAATCGGTCTAAAAACCTGAGGAGGTAAGCGAATATTTTGTAGGAAGGCTAAATGTTATGGCCATCTCCAATTTAATCTTGATGAGCGTAATAATCATCACAGGACCACCTTATATTTGCATAGTTCTTTACAGTAATTTGCAAAGTACTTTCACACATGAAACCATTGAGCCTTACAAATCTCACATGGTTAATGGAACAGCAGATATTACCCTCATTTTACATCTAAGACTGTCTGAAAGCCTAAGTGCCTTGTCAGCCCATTCAACCAGCAATTATAAATCTTATTAAAATCCTATGGTATATCCTTGGGGTACCAGAGGATTGGGGGTGGTGGTGGTGCAGAATAGCTCAGAAGGGCTAGAAGGACAGTGACAATGTGACTGGGCACAATGAAATTCAAGAGTCTGGGTCTAGGGCCATCATGAACAGGGTGTGGAAGCGGGGCACGAGTGCAGGTAAAAGGGCCCCGGGAACCAGATTCCCAGAGCAATAGGCCGTCCAGTTCAGGGATCCCAGAAGGGGCCCACACATGTGGAGACTACAGCTGTCCTTCTGGTCAAGATCGAGGTGGAAGTTAACAACTAAAAGCCAATCATGACGCCACTTTCGTGTTCATTCTAGAGGGAGGAAGGGCAGGGAGCCCAGAAAAGCTCAGTACTAGACAGTTACTGAAGTGTAATAACGAAAGTACAACTAGTTGTGTATACCGTCCTAAGGCCGCAATTTACTGTAAATTAGCATTCCTTAATCATTTGTAATCCACCCACTTCGGATTTTGTATGTGGTACGTTTCTACATTTGGATTCCATTTCCTGAATTGCTGGTTCAGTTTTTCAGCCACAAAAATAATGTCTCTTTCTTCTCTTTTAATAATTCTCATTTTGTCTTTTTTCTCCTATAATGCTTCTTCTTTCAATTGCAGTTCGGTAAAATACTCATTTTCATTTACTGCTAAGAGTTTACATAGCCTGAAACAAACAAGAAACAAAGAATTAGCTGGTCGCATCGTTCCGGCATGGAGTCCTAGGGCCAGCCAGCTCCTTGATCTTCAGGTCCCACAGGCACCTGGCCCCGCAGGTTGGTATGAGGACCCTCCCCCACACCACGCCCTTGGGGAGAAAGGTAAGGAATGAAAGCACCCGCCACCCGCCAGGGTTTGGGAAAAGCCGCGGAGATTCTCAGGCGCCTGTCGGGCAGCCCCGAGGTCCCAAAAAAACCCATCGGCCCAGAGGGTCCCATCGAAGAGTTCGGCGACATCAGGCTGCCCTCGAATGTCCCAGCGTCGTCCTGAGCTCGTCGTGCCGCGCCCTCATCCTGAACAAATCCCGTTAACTTAACTCCAGTTACTCTGCCGGTTTTACCATTACACGAAGAATGGACTCGGCTTTCTCCCGGCTGGCCCTGGGTCGGACGGACGCACTGCTGGCGCAGGCCACGCCCCAGGGCCGTCCAGGCCGAGGGTGAGGGGCAGCGGCTCCCGTGCCCCAGTGGGCTAACCGCACTGCCCCCTGGTGGGCACACTCGCAGGTTGGTGGGGCCTGGCCGGTCCAGGGGCTGGCCCCTTGAGTCCAACCTTCTGACACCCTTGGCCCCTCCCCGGGTGCTTAGAGAAGTGACTTGACCAAAGTTATTGGACAGAACCTGACCTTGATCTTGCCACCCACTATTCCCCACTTTCTCAGACAACAGTTACCACCATCATAACCATCCCCAAAGAAACACTAACTGAAATCAGTAAATGGGACAAAAATCATTTTAAAAACTTTAAAATAGAACAGCTTAGAGATAGAAACTATATTATTTCCAATTCCTATGATGCCCCAACAAGGTTCACACAAGGGCTGTCCTCCCAACAGTTTCCTGAATTCTATATGTTCACCATTAAATTCCATGACAAAGTTGGAAATCCATTCACCATTTGTAATACATAATGAGGCATTTAATAAAATTGCATGGACTATATCTTTTTCGTTCCTGTATCCCAGCATTAAGTACAGCGCCTACACGGGCCAGGTTCTCAATACTCGATGAATGCAAAAAAAAAAAAAAAAAAAAAAAAAAAAAAAAAAAAAAGCCGAGACCAGCAAGTTTTTTCTGGGTGGCCTTGACAATTTCTGTACTTGCTGGGGTCACCATGAAATCCATGGTCTTCAGCTTTGCATTTTCAGCAACGTAGGTTATCAAGTTATCCTCAGGTGAGTAGTGAGACCCTTGGGAGCTGATTCATGGCAGGGTGGCTTTGTAATGTGTCACCTTGACTAGGCTACGTTTCCCAGAACTCCCTTCCCCGTATGCTTCCGGATAGGATGGGCCACATTTTGTGTGATAACTGGAGGGCAGAAGTGAAGCAGCAGCATAGTTTTTTACACTTGGAGGGTTGGTGCAGGGGCACCAGGCACTGTTGCAGTTCACACATGTTGTCATTTATCTGCTGGCTCACCTCGTTGGTGTGGGGCAGCAGTCAGGCCTGCATCCAGGCCTGCAGCTGCTCCACCTTGCCCGGATCTTCCTTCAGCTTCTCTTAATTCCTGGGCCAGATGCATATTTAACTCTGTGATGAAGGGCACCAGCTTCTGCAGGACACCCACATCATCGAAGTTGGAGGTGGTGAGAGACTGACATGGGTTCCCGGCCATCCTCGCGGGTTCCAGCTCGTGCTCCTGGGCGCCAATGTGTTCTTGGTCTCCCACACTTTATGTCCATCTTCCTTTCTCGATTGCCTGCCCTGCAGACTTCAAGCTCCAGCATTAGATGCAAAGACAACAGCCTTACAAGACTGTTTAACCAGCTCCCACAAGTGCATGCGGTCAAATTCCTAGTCAATCCCTTAAAATACATATACATGTACACAAATACATGTATATATATTAATTTTGTATTAATGGTGCTTTTCTGATTGTAGTTTTATATACATAGTAACCAGACTCATCTTAATGAGTCAGAAGGTCACCAACTGAATTTTTCTTAGGATATCACTGCTAAAATCACCAGAGTAGTTAAGTTTGGGTTGTTAGATCCTGGTAGGAGTGGGTAAAGGAAAGAGGAGCAAAACAGTATCAAAAAATTACCAATTTTGACTGGCTTAAGTAAGTAGAGCAAAGGCGGGGGGGGGGGACGACAAAGGAGAGTGGCAGAGGACTGTATCATGAGTTAAAAAGTAGGGAGATGACTAATTTACATCTGAATTATCTAAAGTTGCAGGCTGGGGCAGGAGTGAGGCAAGACACACAGGATGCAAAATTTAAGGAGGCAGGCACTTGTCTCAGCCCTGTAAATGAGCTAGGTTATAAAACGCCATCTAATCACTTTGGCACTTTGTACAAAGAATGAATGCGGCAGGGCTAAGCCAAAACTGGTCCTTAGACAGGAACCCTCACTCACTGTAGTGAGGGCCCAGAGTGAAAGCCAGCATAAAACTCATCAAGGAGTAAGGATGCAAGTTGTCAGGGAAGATGAGTCAGGCTGGTAGTTCAAGACTGCTTTGACTGAGGTAGGGAACTGTGGCCAGTCCTTCCTAAAGGTTATCCTTTAGGCTCTGAGAAACCCTACGCAGCACCAAGGTATGGGAAGAACCCAGTCTCTAGGTGCATGAAAAGGAAAGCCCATCTGCGCAGCCTTGGCACAACCTAAACCAAGACAGAGGCTAGAGTGTAAGGGATTTGTAATACACCTTGTTTTCAAGAAGCCTGGACACTCATGTTACATATACTGAATATGAATTATAGTTTACAGTAGAGTGGCTTATAGAACAAGGTTTAACAAGGTAACATTGATTACAGACTATTAATACTAGCAGTTTGACAATCAACAAGTTACTTGATTTGAGCCTCAATTTTCTCATCTAAGGACATGAGCAAAAACCAGTCTCCCTAAATAAACTGTTCTGAGGACTAAATAAACTGTCCACAAGAGAAACTCACCAAATAGCAGTTGCTTGCCTTTCCTTATTTATTCATATTACATATTTTCAAAATCTGTACTCCTGAGGAAATGTTTATAGAGATACCACCGGGTCTTATCCAGGGGCCATTTAAAATTATTTATGCTGGCTAATTTAGGTGGTTTTATGGTTGTTTTAAATGCACCCCAATCTCAGGCCAGCAACCCCATCCTTATATCCACACTTAACACACTCAGGCTCCTGGCATTTGCACCAGTTAGAACAGATGTACCAACTTTCTACCCTCTCCCTTCCTTCCTGCTTACTCCCTCTATGAGTTCAAATTACTGAACATCCCTACTCCTTTGGCTTGGTGGTTTTTCCAGTCCCTAGCGACTCCTACACAAGTCCTGGGAAGAAGTCTACAGTCCAGCCTGAGAGGATCAGTGTTGTTTCTCATGAAGACAGTCTGTAAATATCACCTAGAATCTTACAGGCTGCAGAAGCCTCTGGTCTACTGCTTTCTAGCTCCAGGTTTTTAAGATCCTTGGACCTAGAGAAGATGGAACAGGTCCGTTTGGTGAATGAGATTCACTATGTACAAAGGAGCAACACAAAACCATTTCCTAATACTCTTGGTCTGCCATCCACCTTTCCTCAGTTATCCTTCCTCTTCTAAAATCTTCCATTACAAGCAACACAACATACCCTTCTCCCTGTTAAAATGCCACGATTCCATGCATAGAAGTTGCTTCCCCAGGTAAGACTATGAGCTCCCTGATGCAGGGATCCTGTGTCCCTGAACAATAAACCTTCCAAGGTCACTGGATTCACTGCTCATCTCCCACACTGCAAGGCCCAATCAGTTCATCTGTAGTTGCCTAAGTACCCTTGGAAGGGTTTCTGTCCTGCTGGAACTGGTTGGCAGTGAAAAAGAAATCCAGGTGTTTAGTAGTTCCAATGGTCTGTGCCTGGGGCTCTGTGCAGGGCCTGTCAACATTCTGCAGGAGGCAGCATCCCCCTGGCCTTCTCCCTCCATCCCAGCCCTTACAGAACCTAGTCTTCCTACTGTTGTCAGACCTGCAGGACAATTCTTTGATGCCACTGAAATTGCTAATAACCTCCATAGGCTTAGGACAGGCTAAAGAAATACATCTTTACCCCCTCTGGAGAGGATGTTCCCGTAGCTGCAGGACTAGCCCAAGATCACACGTGTGTGTGGACCCAGATCACACGGACACCTGAGGACCCCAAGTTCCCACCCACCCACCACTGCCCGGCCCACCTGGTCATCTCTTGGAGACTCCAAAAGCTTTCAAGACCCCAAATGATGATTCTCTGAATAAGAATTTATATATTAGGTCTAGTCCCTGCTAGATTTTCTTAGGGAGATAAGGACCAGGCTTTCCTTATCTTCCTTTTTCTTTCAAATCTCATCACAGGGCACTAAGTCCTCCCCCACCCAACTCCCACCACCACCCCTCCACCCCCAAGATAGCCCTAATCTGGGCCTCAAGAGAATCACTGGGGCCCTGCACACATCCCTTTCTAGTCACAATCAGGGCAGTGCTACTGGGTCTTTACTTCCCACTGTGTAAGGCTATGTGGCAGTTTGTACTTTCCAAACTCAGGGCCCACATCTGGCTGGTACCCACCCATCCCTACCCCTCACTGTGCGGGGCACACCTTGGCAACCAGACTGCTGTGTCCCGGAGGCGGGTTCCACCCAGGCTGAAAATCTCCGTGATCTAGGGAAAAATTAATATCATGAGTCAACATGGCCAGTGGAGCTCAAGTAGGGGCAGGGAGGGTGGGGTGTCCCCCAGCACTGACCACAGGTGTGCCAGCCCCTCCTGCCTCCTCCTCTGGGGCCGAGTCAGAGGCGGAGTCCTCCTTGTCCTCCTCAGGGTCAGGTGGCTCCTGCTTCACAGCTAGCAGGCCTGGGTCTACTGTCTGGGAGAGGCGGGAAATGGGCAGCAGTTAGGAGGGCAGGTCTGGTCTCAGAAAAGTCTCTCAGTCAACCTGTCACTCTGCTGAGAAATCCCTTTTCAGTCACACGTCAGCACAGAAAAGCCACAACTCTGCCTATAAACTTTTCCCATTCCCATTCTTCATGTCTCTCATTTTTCTGTTAGTTAGACAGCAAAGTAGGAAAGCTAGTGAGTTGCCGAGGGAGGAATTCTGTGGAGAGGCAGCAATCAGCACACCTACTGCTCTGCTCCAAGCAGCACCAGCATGGTTCAGCAGCATTTTACTCACAGACCACTCCCCTACTGACCCCCACCTTGCTGGGGCAGCCAGGAAACAATACAGGTGAAGTCAGGACAGCTGTGCCTGGTGTCCAGTCTTCCTGGGCATCCGCCTTCTCTTGCTTCACCTGGGGTAAGGCCACAACCCAAGTCAGGCCAGGGCACTGGGCCTCCTGTGTGGAGGATTGCAGCAGACTTGGTCCCAGCTCCCTGGCACGAGGCTAGGTGGGGTTGGAAAGAGAATATGATAAAAGAAGTCCTCACCTGCAACACGGCCTCTGTGGTAGCTGAGGCAGGGCCTGGCACCTGCACAGGACTGCTTGCACCCTCCCGTAAGAAGACAAGGTCGGTGCCAGGTGGGGGCAGCACAAAGCCACCACCTGCTTCCTGCTTCATTAGAGTATGAGCCCGGTCTGCTCGGGCTGTGCGCTTGGCCAAGGGGGGCTTCATTGTTGGGCCCAGCCCAAGCCTCCGAGAAGAGCCAGGCCTCTTTCGACGAGGGTAAGGTGGGGATGGCTCTGCCCCATCCTCAGGTCCTTCCCAGACACTTGGCAGCAGCCGCTTCTGTGAGGAAAGATAAGATATTCTGGCCACCCAGTGCAATGATAAATCACCATGCCTGCTAATCTCTGGGGAGGCTCCAGCACTTCCCTTCGAGTCTTACCTCACTGAGCCTGCTAGCCTCCTGTTAAGTGTCACTGCTACCCAGCCTCTTCAATGACCCCAACACAGTGTCTGAATCCTTTGCCAAGCCACTGCCCTCCCAAACTGCAGTCTCATCCAGCCTACTCCACTCACCTCCCAAGCCTCCCAGGCACCAGGGAGCCTGGCCCAGTTTAACCCACTGACCCTTCCTGCCCCTCTCACCATGGCAAACTGCAGGCATTGGCGCCAACGGCACTTCTGGCGCTTCTGGTTACTGCCCCCGAATTTGGGCTTGTCACAGCAGAAGTCGCAGTGACCACAGTCCATCCTCCGTAAGCAGGCTGCACAGGCCCCACACTTTCGGTTCTGCCGGCGATTTGTGTAAGGCTGCTGGGAGGAGGGAGAATGAGGCTGCTATCACTGGGCCACTGCGGTGCCACTCCTGTTGCCCCTCCACTAGCCCCACTGCAGAGAACTGGTGGCACCTCCGTGACTGGTCGTCAGGCACTGGGTGTACCTACCAGCTGGCTCTCGGTGCTGTGAGGCTGACTGCTCCATCACAGTGCCGACCACTCTACCTGCCAGGCTCACGAACTACTGAGACAATGTCTTTGAGTCTACCTCTAGCAAGGTTCTGCTGACCCTTAAGAAGCTCCTCCTATGGAGTCTAGATCTGTTCATCCTACATGAATCCTGGTCACTGTTGGCTTTTCGTCTACTAGCCCCACCAAAGCATTGGTTCACCTGAAATTAGGTACTAACTTCGTGAATCTCTACACCTGCTGGCCTCATTTTAGCCCCCAATTGCTCATCCCCGTTATCGATAGTACCCATTACTATGCCTTCCTATTCCCCTACTAGTTTCAGTAAAACATCTGCTTCTATGGGTTTAGCCAAGTGCCCTGGGAGAGTCTAGGCTTGTCCGTGTTGGATGGGGCCACTCACTAGCTCGTCCTCGTCTACACAGTAATAGATGAACTCGGCAGGTGGCGAGGGGGCCTGGGTTCTGGGGTGCTGCAGAGGCAAATGGGGTGGGATCAGGGCAGGTACTGGGGTACAATTAGGGTTGTGCCTTCCCCCTGCCCATCAGGGCCTCACCAGCTCTGGGGACCCTGGAGGTTGTGATGGGGGAAGCGGAGGCAGTGGCTGGGCTCGGGGGCGCCGCCTGGCAGTTGTCTTAGTGTCACAACCTCCCCTACGGCGGCCATGTTTACCCTGGGAGAAAACCAAAAGGGTGATTTAGACTTGATGGCATGGAACCCAGAAACCCCAACTCCAGGACCCAGGAGTGCAGAGAGCATTCAAGGGACAGATGGGCAGAGGGTAGGGTGATGCACTCACAGCAGGGGGAGCCACAGCTAAAGGAGGGCGTCGTTGACATCTCTGATGGTGGCGACGGAGGCGGTGGGCAAGGTGCTGGCAGACAGGGGCAGGTAGGTAGGGTCAGGGAGGTAAGCATGGGGCGGGAGGAGAAAAGAAGACATGAGGTCGGCAAAGCCAAGTTGAAAAGAAGCAACAGCAATTTCAACAGCAAGGTGAGATCTGCCCCAACCCTCACCCTGTCAGTACTGGCTCCCCAACCTGACTTACCCGTAGGCAGCGCCGCTGAACGCACCGCCACTGGCGCCTGAGACCAGGGCGGGGAGGGCGAAGGCAGATACGGCAACGGCCACAGTCCTCTCGAGTCTGACAGCCCCGGCATACTCCACACCCTCGGCTCTGTAGGGGAGCCAGAGGCATGATGCTTGCAGCCAGGCCCTTGAGGGCCGGAGGCAAGGGTGAGCCTTAGGTCCACCTGCAACTGCCCAACTCACCCTTTCCACGATCTTTAGGCACCGTCTCCTCTCACACTTGCAGAACAGCCCCGAGGCCACATCATGGGGCAGCTGCAGGAGGCAGGTGGAGCAGGCCCCGCAGTCCTCGGTTACCTGGCAGGCTGCACACTCCCCGCAGCCCACACGCTGCCAGGAATGGGTGGGGCAAGGTCACAGGCCCAAGCAGAGTGGCTTCAGGAGCATTGCCCTCATGTGTCTGCTGACCCCACATTAGCTCCCATCACCACTTCCGCTAGGTGCCCATCTGCCTCATGAATGTGTGTGATAACTACTGATTTCAGCGACCAATGAAGCTGTCACAAAGTCTGTTGGTTCCCCGACTAACGAGTCATCATGTCTACTGACACCTCATTAACTCCAATGACTGCCTGCTGGTTGTGTTTGCCTATGAAATCACCCTGACACCCTGCAGGCCCAGCATCATCTGCTAGCCCCTCCACCAGCCCCATTACGACTTGCTCCCACACTTACAGAAGGGCAGCTGGTTGTGCTTACCTTATACATCCTCTGCTCCCGGTTGAAAGCAATTCTCTGTGCTGGAGTAGGGAAAAAGGAGAAAAGTGGAAGGGGGGAGCAGACAACTGTCCTCAACCTCTGATATCCACCGATCAGCCTTTAGCTTAGCCTGACAGTGGTCTGCTCCAGCTCCTCTCCCCCAACGCCCTCAGGGCCACGCACCTCGGCAGTCCTTGCATAATGTCTTGAGTCTCTGCCTTCGGGTACCATCTCCTGCAAAGCTGATTCCACAGTTCTCACAGCACCTGGGATGGAAATCGCAGGTGTAGGGCCCTGAATGTATGCCCAACCACAACCCTCACTTACTTGGCTCACTTTAGGCCAATACTCACCCAGGTGCAGGGAGCGAAGCTGGGGCTGTGGCAGTGTCAGTCTTGGCCTCATCTACTGGAGCTTCCTTCCTGACCTCACTCTTCTGGGGTTTAACTTGACGTTTCTGAGCCTTGGCTGGCTTTGAAGGCTTCTTCCGCTTTTTGTTGGGGATGGCCAACGATGGGGCCTGAAGATGAGTGAGGAAGGAAGGCTGTAGAGGTCAATGGGTGGGTTACTAGGTGACTTGGTCACCCCTGCACAGCTAGCCCACCATGTGTAGTACCTTGGGAGCTGGATAACACAGGATGCCTTGTTTGAAGTCAAAGAGGCTGAGGTCACACGCAGGGCCCAGGTATCGGGTCAGTTCAACTTTGCTTCGGATCCTGTCTCCTGTGGGGCTGAGGGTAGGCCAGGATGGGTTGGCACCCAGACTGAGCTGCAACTCCACCCACACAAGCCTCCCCCAGAACCGGTGAACAGGCCCACAGGGTTGGTGGGATACACAAGAGGCAGCCTGGGAATGGCCTATGAGCCTTGACCAGACACTACCGCCAACTAATCCTGAATCACAGGGGTACAGAAGGTGTTTAAAATATCAACATACGTGTATACAAACACCAACAAATTTAACATGAATGTAAATGGATATGCACGGATTATGACATATACTACTATCGGTGTTCTATATAAATAAAAATAAACACAAACAGGATCACAAATGAAATAACATAAAAATACCAGCATTACACACTAAATATGTTAAGCAAGCAAAAAATGCAACAAATGTTTTTAAAACAGATATAAACAAGCATCCACCCAAGTGCATGCACAATCATACATGTAAAAAAATTAATGCAACTACACAGAAAATCAAATTTGTGATGTTGGGTGACAATACTCCACAGGTTTCTTACTTTTCTTACAAGAGGCATGGATTGTCCTTTGTTACGAACTATCTTTTCAAGGATATTTGTGCAGCAAACAGCCTTGGAAGATAAGGGAGAGGGTCTCCATGCAAAGGGAAGGCATCCCTACTGTCCTTACATTATAAAATATCTGATTCCTTCAGCTCAGGGTTCTTTTCCTATAGTGCAGCCTCATGTATGTGTAGGTGCTGGTTAGCCCTCTTTATATCATCCTACGGGGTTTAAGGGACCGGTACAAAAATTTATTCTGGAGGCTGCTAATAGTGTGAGTGACAAACTGTCTTTCACCTCCGACCAAGGAGTCTCAAGATTCCTACCAGTATCCAAAGAACTGTGACACATTTGCTGTCTTGCCCTAAAGTGCTAGTCCTTTATAAGTTTTAATTACTGACTTTATAAACCTTGAGAGCTTTATACAAGTTTAAATATGTGAATGAAAGTACAGTTAAATATAAGTATTTATAAATAGACAACGTTTTTCTAGGAAAATGCAACTTAAATACAAAAGTAATTTAGGAAAAGTATAGAAAATTTAACAATTACATCACTAATATATCTTAAAACACTTTAAATGCTTAAGTGTAAATTATTTATTAAGTATACTGACAAACATGTTAAAGTCTGCTTAATTATATATCATAAATACAAACACAAAAACAATAGTTAAGAAATATGCCAAACATACACCTATGTATTCAATAATCCTCTTTATTAATAATAGTTACATTCTATAAAGTCACTTTGAACACTGAATTAGTGAATTACTCCTAAGAGAAGTATAGATTAAGTTCCTGCAAGTTTCTGGTTCCAACATTTTGGTCAACTGATCAATATATAACCTTGTTTTACGTGTATTTAAAGATACCCGCCCTCCCAAAATAAAAATACCCTACTTACATATTTTTCTTAACAATAATTAACTAAAAGCCAGGACCCGTGGAGGCCACTGGTATTACATAGGTTCTTTGCCAGTGTCTCAACATTGAAACAAGTCAGTCTCCTCGACATTGAAACCCAGCCCTTCCCATAGACCTTTTCATGGACAAAAGCTGGCAAATATGCCTTAAATTCTTCTGCAGAATCTTAATATACAGAACATGCCTCACATGCAAATTTAAATTTTTTCACAATGTTATCAGCTTTTAAAAAGTGAGTTGATCAGAACTAGCTGAGATGGGTTTAACATTTTCCTAACCCTGGGTAACATGAATGTCAACATCCCTAGCTTGCAGCCTAACAATAACTTCATTTTATGGGTCATCACCTCATAGATCCACAAATTTTGCCATTTTTCCACCTTTTCCATGGCTTCATCACATACTGTAGATGTTGTTTTAACACTCTCTGGAGTTGTCTCATATGCAAATTTGCAGATTTCCTCTTCTTTTCTAGATGTACCATGTTTCTGATTCATTAACATTGAACTCACAGTCAACGGTACTGCCATTCATGCCTGACAAAGTTCAACACATATTTTCTCCTCACAGCATACCATAACCTTCCTCCAATTAGAACACTAGAAAGCACTTCAGCACTGTTTGGGGTCACTGTGAACAGCAAAATAACCAGTAAAAAGTACAAAAATTCAAAAAACATGGCACTAAGCAGTTGTCGAGAAAGACACCATTTACAATACAAGAGCTAAACAAGAAGCAAAGTGAGTATTGACTTTAGGAGTACAAACTTTGGGGAGCAGGTGAATTGGCAAATATGGAATCTGTGAATAACTGAAACTGTACAATACATAAATTTAATCACACCCCCTCGATTTCACGTAGCCAGAACCTTACCCCTGCCTGCCACATCCCACCCAGTACCTCTGGTAATAGGTGTCTGAGCGTCCACAGGTGGCACCTGACTTGCGAAAGACCTCACGGCGCTTCCAGCCAGGGCCCAGAGCTGGGCAGTCCAGCCAGTCCTCAGCCATGGGGGCCACGGGAAGGAGCAGCGGCCTACAATGTGGAGGGCATAATTGGAGAAGCTGAGGTTCTAGTGGGGATCCGTGGTGCCCCAGGCCACGCAAAACACGACTACTGACAGTCCAAGACCTGGGACCTGCCAGACAGAACTGACCAGTACAAAAACACATGCCACTCCACCCCTCTCTTCCCATGCGCCAAGTGTTGGTCATTCACACCCCTTCCTGACAGTATTCAGCACCACCCATTTCCCAGCTGCCAACCTAAGACACTTTCATTCTCCCCTGCCTCATTCCCACCTTCCACCGCCCCAGAGACACTGTGACCTACTGGCTCTGGTTACTCCCCTTTGTTACCCTGAGAGCCCATACTCCCCCTCAGCCGGGGAGGCCCCAGTCTAACTCACCTCGACCTCGGGCAGAGAGCTCCAGTCTCACCTCCCATTCACTCCCTCCTGTAGCGCAGACAGCTCCCATCTCTGTCTCTAAACTTTCCCTGTTCCTCTCTTGCCCCACATCTTCTTAACCTGCCACCTGTGTCCTCCGCCAAAGAGCTCCCAACCGCCCCATACCCCTGGCCTGAAGAGCCCCCCTCGTTCCTTTTCCCTGTCTCAAAGGGCCCCCACTCCACCCCTCCTCCCTCTCCGGCAGTGCTGGGCGGGAATTCGCCCCAATCTCAATCCCCAAGCCTCCCTACTCCTCTCCTCTACAGCTAAAAAGTTCCCTTACGACTCCTCTTCATCCTTCATTCCTGACCTCCCCCTCGGAGCTCCCCCGGTGCCTCTCCATTCTTGTCCGAGAATTATGCCCTCCCTAACTGTCAGCATTCTGCCCCTACTCCTCCTCGTCCTCCAGAGGAGCCCCCGTCCCTACCTTTCTATTATTCCGATGCCCCCCTTTCTACCCCGTCTTCGGCTGGAGAGCCTCTCACTTCTCGTCAGCATTCTGAATCCCCATTTCTCGCTCCTTAACCGGAGAGGCCCCGATGTCCCGGATCTGCGCTAGGATCCTTCCCTGTTCCCTTCCGTCCTTACCCAGCGTCCCGACACTGCTACCTGTCAGCGTTCTGAGCCCCTTCCGCCCCGTCCTCCGCGTGAATCTCCTCAACCCTCCCCTTCAGTATTCCGACGCCGCCATTCCTCCCACTCATCGGCCTGGGGGCCCTTCATTCCTCTCCGTCAGCGTTCAGAGCCTGAGGTCCTCCCTTTCCTTCGCCTGAGCGCTCCCCACTTGCAACCCCGCGACTGTCTCACCAGCTCGGCACCGGGCCGGGAGCTTCCGCCGCTCTAGGCCCGCGGACCCATGGCGAGGGTCCCGCCTGCGACTCCCGCCTTGCCCTGTTCCTCTTCTTCCTCCTCCGCAGCCGCTTCCTCCGTAGCTGTAGCTGTCGCCGCCGCGGCCGTTCGTTGCTCCCGGAACCGGAAATCCGCTGCCCGCCTCTCGGGCTCCGCCACCGGCGACACGCCTGCGCTCTGCTGCCCTGCGGGCGCTTGCCCTTACCAGGGAGGACCCCGCGCCTGCGTGCCGGCTCCCACGGCGGGCGCCCCCCCGTCCGGGCCCGCTGCGTTTGCGCGCTGACGTCCAACTACCGCTCGAGCCGCGGCCGGGTAACAACAGCGACTGCGCGACTCTCCCCAGCTGGCCAACGGGCGCCTTCTCCCGACTCCTCCCACCTCCACAGTGCGTGCGCTCCGCGGTCCCTGCCCAAGGGGGCGTGGAAGCTTGGGTTTAGCTCAGAGCTCCGGGTTTCTTTGGCGGTATCTTGGAGGGCCGAAGGGCAAAGGCTGGGCTTGTGTCAGCGCCCTCGTCTACCTCTCGCCGACGCTGTCCTTTTGCACCCTCGTCCCTCCGGTAAACACATTGCAAACAATCTGGTACCCCGTCCACGGTCCGGCAGCCAAAAGAGCAAAGCTTTCAGCCCAGACTTAAAAGTTAGAACAGGCTGGTCCTGTTCCGTGAAGCGGCCATGCAGGTATCTGGTGCCTGCAGGGACCCCGACGCTGGCAACCCCTGCCTAGGACCGAGGAAGCCAGCGGAAGACCTAAACGATGGGACCTGGACTTCGCGTCTCCGGGCTGCAGGCTGTAGAAGCCAGGGAAATGGCTGAATCCAAACATTTTCCTTTTCTGTGCACAGAGTGTGGAGATGACCTAGGAAATCAAGAGATCTAAACCTATAGGTAAAAGCCAGAAGCTCAAATCAAGAATAATTGCATTTTCGAAGTCACTGATTGCTTCTTTCTTTTTAGCATGGATGCTACTCCCTAACAAGGTAGTTAACCTGAATGCAAACAGGAGTTGGAACAGTTCTCAGAATTAAATCTGTCGGACTATTTCCCAGATTAGAATTCTCATCGACTAACAGTTTTTAGAGAAACTGTCCTTGAGACCTTTGTTCATTATCATAACTCTCGGTTATTAGATAAGCAAGTGAGAATTTGAACCAGAAAAACAGTCCAATAGATTTCACTTACGGAGAAAGTTGGATAACTACTCCAATAATCACAAATTAGAGTTTACGTGCATTGACATCAAAATTGTATTCTTGCCAGAATTCTGGTTTTCATCTATAAATTTAGATTTTACCTACACTATCTTGACCTAAAGAAATGTTATTGCTATCTACACAAAGAGAAGGGCAGATGCTGACGTTAATCATTTTTCCTGATTTTTTTATGCATACAAGAATTGGGGTACAGGCCACAGGTGGGGGTGGGAGAGGATTCACCAGAGACAGAGTGGGGAACAGAAGAGTGTATTTCAGATTGACTGAAATACACTGCTGAGGGGAGCAAGGGGTGAGACAGGAGAGGTCTGCTGCACCATGTGAGTCACCTCCCTGGCCAAGGATTGCTGCAGTGACTGCAGATAGCTTCTTAGTGCCGCACTTTATAAAACACCTTATGCCACCAAGGAGGGCCCCATTTTTTTAATTTCTAAAGAATCCATCATGGAGATGCAAAAACTAGGTATCCATTGTTTAAATCTTTGATTCCTTGGTCATTGGAGGATGAAAAGTTTTTTTTTGTTTGTTTTTTTCCTCCCAGCACCAGATTCCTGCATGACTGCTTCACAGAACAGGCTTAGACTATTCTGACTTTAAGCTTATGCAAATGACTTTGCCCTCTTGCTTGCTAGACCAGTGAGTTTGGTCCCAGAAGGTTCACAATGTGTTCACACCTTTTATTCCAGTCAACAGTGTGTGGAACCTACATGAGGTTCAGAGGAAATGCCTGCAGTTGCCTGGAGCATCAAGAGGACCTGGCCATTGAGCCCATCCAAATCACTGGAGCTTCAGCTATGACAGGGTGAGTACTTCCTGGGTCTTAGACCTCTGGGCTAATGTTGAAGTTATTTGAGTTTATTAGATAATTGTTCTATATTGTCTGGGTGGGAGGTTATTCTTTGCCCTTGCAGAAAAGGGGATTCCAAACTAGAAGTGCTAAGATTTTCCTGATTTTGACATGAGGACTAAGTTTGCAGCCAAAATCAGTGTTTTCCCACTTAAACTGACAGACAGGCTCAACTGGCTAGAACATATCAATTAAGCATGAGAACCAGCTCAGGCGATTTCAAAGACAAGGACACCTTACTCCTCTTTCTAGCAATGCCAGCATCTCTGAGTGAGTAGAATTCTAGCAGAAGTGTCTGAGATCAATTTTCAAGCTGTGCAATGGTACCATAAAGAATTTTTATGGGAATTCCTTAGACTATATGACTAAATAATTTGGCTCAACCAAAGACCACTACAAAACTGATCACCAGCACCGTGAGCCCCTGCAATTGATTTAAACAATTGCTAGGAGAAGCCAAGATACATAAAAAGCTGAACCAACTCAGGGGTGAAGTTATGAGAAGCCAGGATTCTCTGATCCATTACACAAGCCCCTAGACTGACTAGTTGAACTTGTATAAGAAACAAAGCATACAAATTTGAAACTTGCAGGACATCCTGCAAGCAGCTGCCTGCTAATACTCCAGGAAGATTATGTATAATACTTGTGGAGCGGAGACTTTCAGGTGGCTCCCAAAATGGGATTTTACTAGAAAAGCTACTTTAAATTCCCAAGGCAGAACATATATTAATTTCCCAAATTAATATACTTTCGTATACAATTAAAGAGAGCCAGCTCTAAAATTAAATAACCTGAATGGATACTTATTTTTGTCGTATTTAGAAGCATGCAATGCAGAAATGGCAAAGTAATTTCCCTGTAGGAACTTAGTGAAACTACTTGAGACTTAGTGAAACTACTTGAGACTGCCTCAGAAATAGAGAAAACCATGAAGGCTAGCTTAGTGCCTGAAGCTGTGGGAGCCGCTGCTTTTGGAACTTCCAGGTCCTGATGCCATCTCCACCCTTTCTCCTTCCACTTCTAACAAAAAAAAGAGAAGTCAACTCCAAAATCACTGTGATCCTCTTGCAGGAATTGGCCACATGGCTGGACAAAAGCATAGCTGTGCTGCTTTTCCAGTTTACCCCAGGAACAATGTCAGAACATAGAGCCCTAATTAAGGGGTTTTGACAGTCATTGCAGGATCCAGAACGCTTTACTAAATAATTTAAACTAATGATTGAACTATACTCCAAAATTTTAGACCTTAATCAGCTGGTCCATACACTCTTTTCTAAAAGTAAAACTGAAGAATGGATAGAAAAAGTGGGATAGATAAATCTAGTGCATAATATTAAATCAAGAAATGAATGCAAGGAAACCAGAAGAATTGGGGTAGGAACTTTTGAGAGCCATTAAAGAAATACTTCCAAAGGTTATTAATTGGACTAAAATACAACAAGGTAAAGGAAGACCTGATGAGCCAATCCCAAATTAGAGAAGATCTTTAAGCAATATTCGGAAATGGTTCCTAAAATTTTCACTTCTCATTAGAATGATCCTTTACTTAGGTTGAGATTTGGGGAGGCCACAGAAGACTTGGGAATCCTATTCTAGCACTGAGTAAGGTAGAGTCTTTCCTACCTACCCAGGCTAGTAACAGGAGGAAAGCTGCAACAACAACAAAAAAATAGAAACTGTGTTAAGATCACTTAGTGAACAAACCATGGCAAAGGTACCACCTTAAGGGAAGTCTGTGGACCCCAATAAACTAAATAACTAGGACTTGGTTTCTATGGGAAGAGATGCAGTCACCAGGAAAAAAAGAATTCTAGGAAAAAGAGATCTCAGAACCAGAATGAACAACCAGGATGTGGGGACAAGCAAGAATGGGGTGCTCTGAGGATTTTGTGAGAATCTACACAGCTCTCAAATGCCTTAGGGAAAAACTGAGATACAAATCAAGGAAAATAATATACAGCTTTAATCGATACAGGATCCATTTAGCAGTTCTGAATCCTAACCAACTTATAGAATTCCTTGTTGAGATGGTATGGGCATCAAACTAACCAATGAGAGTAAATAATAAATATCTTATTTCCAAACAGAAAATTGAATACATTTTTTCAGTATATATGTCCTCGAACACATATGTAGAGACCTAGTGGAGAAATATAGGGCCTACATTGCATTCATTCCAAAGGGTGGAAGGTATTTAGAATTAACAGAAGCTCCCACAAGCCAAACAGTTTTCCATAAGGTAGTGATTTTGACCCAAGCAACTACTGCAGATTATGGTGAAATTCTTAAATTCTGCAAGAATGTTGGGTTGCCACATCCACAGATACAGAAACAATTTATTGGGAGGAGCCAATTAAAATTTCCATGTATATAATTGCCAAATATTTGGTGACATCAGTGAAGAGTATAAGTCATAAAAGGCATACAGTCTAATTTCAAAAAAGCACTTCATGTGCTGTCCAAGTCCTCACAATACACCCATCTTCCCTACAGTTAAACCAAATAGGAAAGAATGGAAGTCTGTCCAAGACCTAAGGACAGCAAAAGCTGTGGTCCTACCATATCACCCGCTGGCTCCTAATCAACATACATTTGTTGTCTTTTACCCCAGTAGCCATTTTTCAGTAACCTCTACAGTGCCTTCATTAGCATACCAGTTCACCCTAAATTAACATGTTTGCTTTCATCTGGGAGGGCTGGACTGTAGTGCTTCAGGGGTACATGGAAAGCCCCACTTATTTCAGATTCTAAAAATTGATCTCAGTGATCTTAAATTTCCCTTATAATCGACTGTAGTCTAATATTATAAAGAGCATGGTCAAATGTGGCATACAGTCAGTGTGAATCCATATCTGTCACATACTAGCAGATGACTGTGTGTATATGTATCACAGATTAGCAGACAGTTAATATATATAGTTAAGACTGTACCAGAAGCAGATATCAGAAACCTATGTAGGCTGGAATGTGACGTATGCAGACAGATGCATACGGAATAATAGATAGTTGAAGTTGAAAATGAGTATTATGAATATGATGTAATCTGTAATGAATATGTATGAATATGACGTAATAAGAAATTATGTAATGCATGTGGGGTGAAGTGGATAAAAATGATATAAGGTGTGTGGTAAGATAGATAAGGTAGAAATAGAGTATAAAAACCCTTGCGCTCCACTTAAAGCTCGTTTGCTTCGTCGTGCCCAAAGATGCCTGCTTTAGTGGCCAGGGCAAATG